GACCCGGAAGTTCGGGTGCGGGTACCCGGTTATATCTGGTTCTACGGATCCGGTATGAGTATCATATGGGTTATAAAAATACCTTTTCATTAAGTGGTAATATGATGGGGTTATCTCAAACCATTTTGGAGATATTGTAAAAAAACTGGGTTTTGGTCCCCGATTTTTTTGAAAAAGTCGAACTTGGGTCCATTACAGTCCCTCTCCAACCCAGACTCAAATGATAGATCACAATTTGCCCTTTCCAAAATGGTGCGATATGTGGCTGTATCTGTTGTGGACCAAAGGTATTACCACTCAATAGAAAGGTATTTTTATAACCTTTAAAATTATACCCTTATTATATTAACAGGATCCGTATAACCGGATATAACCGGGTACCCGAACTTCCGGGACCGGGTACGTCCCCCAAGAAAAAAATATATCCCCATAATTAGGGTAAAAATACCAACCTCTGGAAAAAATTTCAGAAAAATCTGATCGTTTTTACTAAACCGGAGTTGTTCCATTTTTTTAATTGTAAAGTTAATAAATAAATGACCCAAACATTTCCCAGCTGCACCATTTAATAATATTCAGAAATTGTGTTAATAAAGTTTTCTTTATTTTATTTATGCCAAAAAAAATGCCAAATTTTTATTCATACAACCTTTCTAAAAAAAAAAAACAAAACAAAAAACATCATGATGCATAGTGTAATACAAATAGATGAGCTTTGCACAATACTTCCATTATTAAGTAGATAACCAGCATTTATATTACAAAAAAAAAAAAATACTTGAAAACCAAACTTCTTCCTACCTACATAAGAAAAAAAAACAAAGAAACACACAAAACAATTCCAAACATACAAGGAAAAACTTTTAAATGAATTTCGTTACTATAAAATCTTCCCGAAAATACAAAACAAAAAACGTCGAATCGAGTGTACTAATGTAGAACAGCCATATCTTTATTAAAATAAAACAACCAACATTATTAACAAAAAAGACAATTATTTTAATTAACCAAAAAATAAGAAAAAACTAAAGAAAACACAACTGAATGTGTAAGACGAACTTCCGTTAAAAAAACTCGCAACAAACGAACAAATATTTATTTTACTTTTTTTCAATTAATAATATTTATTAATATTTTGTTATTATTGATTAAAAGCCAAAACCAAAAAAAGAAAAAAATGAAACTGATATGTAAATATATAAAAAATAAAATGCTTTTTTTCTTCTTCTTCGTATTGTAGTTATTATCAAACAAACAAACAAAAAAAAAGAAACAAATTTTCAAATTATAATTAGTTTAAGCCAACGGTACAGAACAGAATAAAATGAAAGAAGAAAAAAAAACGAAGAAATATTCCAAACCAGCCAGCAAATAAATTATTTATTTTAATTATAAATAAATGGATTGAAATTTGTTATTAAACAAATTAATTTTAATTTTTAACATCACTCAATGGATTTGCAATTTGTTTACATGTACTTATTTTAATTCGTTTTTTTATTTAATTCTATTTAAATAAATCTCTTATTTCCCATACTCTATATATTTGAATTTATTATGGGTTTTAATAAGAAATTTCCTAATACAATTTCAATCCATTTATTACTTACATAATTAAATTAAATTGCAAACAATTTGTTTTATTTAAAACAAATACAATTTAAAAAAGCCAATAAAATACAATTTTTGGAAAGATTACAAATAATACATTTATATAGTTACGTTTTAATTATATTACAATAACAAAAAAAAAACAACTTTATTATAGATTTTTTTCAAAATAAAAAAAAAACAAAAATTAATAAAAATCATGGAAAGAAAATTTTAAAAATTTAATTAAAAAAAGAATTTAAATAAGACTTTGTAATATATTAACAATGAACTAAAAAGAAGTGAAAACACAAATAATAAAAAAATTTATATGATAAATAAAAATTAAACATTTGTTTCATTTGAATCCGATAAAAAAAAATATTCTTTAAAAACCCACTGAAAAAATATTTTTTAAAAAATCCACGTCGATGTTAAAACATAAAAAAAAATCTTTAAAAAAATCCACGACTATATTGACCGTTGAAAAAATATTTTTTAAAAAACCCACCCCTATGTTGATCCTCGAAAAAAATATTCTTTTAAAGATCCACACCTATATAAACATTTGAAAAACTATTCTTAAAAAAGTCCACACCAATTTACTTACATACTTTGCTGGCTTGTGACAGAACTTTCGTTCCATAAGCCGAGCTTTAAAAAGATTTCCAGGCGCGTCGGTCTTTTGCGCAGTTTTTCCAGTTTGAAAGATCATATTCGGCAATATCTTCATCCATTCTCACAACATGGCCTAGCCAACGTAGTCGCTGCAGCTCAAATCGTCTAACAATATCGATGTCCGAGAATAGCTGGTACACCTCATGGTTCATTTGACGGCGATATTCACCGTTAACGCAGATCGGCTCATAGATCTTTCGGAGAATTTTTCTCTCAAACACTCCAAGTGCTGCATCATCTGCTTGCGTAAGTACCCGTGCTTCAGATCCATATAATAGCACGGGTAGTATCAGCGTCTTGTAGAGTGTGAGTTTGGTCTGGCGGGAGGTGGCCTTGCTTTTGAGTTGCTTACTCAGACCATAGCAGCATCTGTTGGCCAATACTATGTGAGTTTGGTCTGGTGGGAGGTGACCTTGCTTTTGAGTTGCTTACTCAGACCATAGTAGTATCTGTTGTCCAACACTATCCTTCTCCGAATTTCAAAGATGATGTAATTAGTTTTGTTTTTGTCGGCACCGAGGTATCTAAAATCGTTTACTAACTCGAAGCTGTAGTTTTCAAGTTCCACAGTTGGTCCGCGTCTACTAGACGTCTTGCGCGTTGATATCACCAGCTTGGTCATCTCACCGTTTACTGCCAGACACACTTTGGCAGGCTCCACAATTTGTTCCAAGGTGGCTGTTCTCAATGTTCATTAACATTATGTCGATGTTATCGGCGTAGGCGAGTAACATGTGTTGTTTGGTGTACAGAGTGCCATTTCTGTCCCCCTTTGCCTCTCGTATGACCTTTTCCAGCACGATGTTAAAAAGGTTACACTACAGACCGTCACCTTGTTTGAATTCTCGTTCGGTATTAAATGGCTCCGAGAGGTCCTTTCCGACTTTAACTGCTGATCTTGTGCCAGTTAAAGTTATCCTGCATAGCCGTATTAATTTTGCAGGAATGCCAAACGCCGACATGGCTTTATACACCTCTGAACGGATAGGGCTGCCGAATCCGGCTTTATAGTCGACAAATAGATGGAATGTGTCGATGTGTTTTCGTGGGGTTTTTCCAGGATTTGGCGCAGAGTGAAAATCTGGTCGATGATGGATTTGCCAGGTCTGAAGGCGCATTGGTATGGTCCAATAATGTCATTGACCATTGGCTGCAGTAGTTTACTCAGCACGCTGGATAGCAATTTATATGCAATGGGAAGAAGGCTAATTTCTCTATAGTTGGCACATATCGTCTTGTCTCCCTTTTTGTGCACGGGACATAGGATGCTTAGGTTCCAATCATTGTGCATGCATTCCTATAGCCAAATTGTACTAATCAGCTGGTGCATGCTCCTTACCAGCATCTGACCATCAATCTTGAATAGTTCGGCTTGTAACCCATATTCACCTGCTGCTATATTATTCTTCAGCAGATTGATTGCTATTCTGACTTCATCTTGGCTAGGTGGTATACACTCTATACCGTCATCTATTATTGGTTCTTGGGTATCCTCTTCACCGCTACTATTTGATACCAGAAGTTTTTAAAAATGCTCCTTCCAGATCCTCAGCACGCTGTCTGTATCTGTCACCAGGTTTCCTTCTTCATATCTACAGGAGGATGTGCCTGCACCACCGTTGGTAGAATTTTCGGACTTCATTCTGACTCCTGTATATCTTCGATTTGCTGACGCTTACGTTTTTCTTCTTCTTTTTTCAGAAATTACGTTTCTCTTCTCTCCTTTTCTCCCGATAATTCTCCATCACGTTACGTGTTGCTACTGTCTACAGGGTTGCCCTATACGCTGCGTTTTTCACATCAGTAGCATTAACACACTCGACACTCCTGATCATACCATGGGTTTCTTGGTGATGGTTTTTGGTATACAAGTGTTGCTTTTGCTGCAGTTTGTAGGAAATGGGCAATTCTTTGCCATTGTGCTTCTATACTATTATCGCGGCAAGAAGTGCTTTCGTCATGCAGGTGGGTAAGTTGAGCGGAGTAGGCCTCTGTTACTTGTGTTTGCATCTTTTCGACGTCGAGTTTCTGTGTTACATTAGATCGCACCTTTGCTGCTACATTAGGACGGGTGCGAACCGTGGCTGCTACAAGGTAATGGTCTGAATCGATATTCGCACTCCCCGTGGTGCCACCTGGGGTAGCTATTTTCATCATCAGTGTCCACAATTGAGATGAAAGAGGGACCAAGATAAGCCTGGACTTGGCCATGTTAAAGCCAATCAGAGTCGTTGCTTGGTATCTATCTATGTTGACCCTTGAAAAAATATTCTTTAAAAAATCCACACCCATGTTGACATCTCTCTCATTAAATATATATCCTCAAAATTGCAAACACTATACACAAAACTCTTCTTTGATAACTTGCTTTATTTACACAATACTTAAAATTAAAATTTGATTTCATTCACAAATAAAGAATTACAGTTCTTTAGAGCTAAGCCGTATATTTCTGTAGGTTTCATTAGTACTATAGCATTTATGTTTGTATAAAAAAACCATTTCGGTATTTAATAATAATAAAAAATTTTTAAATTTCCACAAAATTCCGTAATGCTAAAAATGTATTTTTTTTAATAAATCATTGTGAAGAAAAATTTATTACAAATTCTTGTAAAAGAATTACTAGGAATTGGTGGAAAATATAAATTTCAAGATTTAATTAATATTTCGATTTAAAAAAATATTACTAATGAAAAATTTAATAAGAAAGTTTTAGTATTTATTCCCTGTTAGTTATACAAAAGATTATAAAACTAATCTCTTGTACGTAGACCCCAAATTGATGTTCGTCGGGTACCAACAGTGGGACGTGCCACAGAACTGTGTATAAATTTATTAATGCCAATTTTTGAAAAGGTATGCTCCAGCATTTCCAATGCTGAATCTGTTAGCATTCCAAATATATCCAGATATGTTAGTGTAGGCATGTTGCGCAATTCACTGTAACAAAAAAAATGAAAATTGAAAAATTGACACCAGATATATATTTTGGGGATACCAAAAAAACGTACATATATGCAGAGGCAGGTATTAGATAACACCTTGATAATGATAAGTATTCGAGCATCTTAAATTTACATATAATACTTATGGCATTTCCAGTTAATCCAGTACAATCGGATAAATCTAATTCCAGCAGTTGTGTACAACGTTTGGCTAAGCTTGCTAAATCTGTAAAAATGCAAACACATTTTTATAAATAAATGTATGAGGGGGTAAACAATAGTTGGGGTTTATTACGTGAGTCAAACATGGTTTTGCGGCACCCAGCCACATTGAGTCTCATTAAATTTGGTGTTACATTTGTTACCAGAGATGTAACCGCATCAACCGATAAATTTGTCCATGATATATTTAAACTGTTTAACTGTTTCAATGATTCCATAATTTTCCTTACACTCCAGGCTTCCAAACCGGAACACATGGCTAAGTTTAAGGCCTCCAAACCGGTATTTTTGGCAATTTCATTACATATCTCATCGTTGAGGGCAACATGTTCCAGACTTAGTTTCTTTAGTTGGCGACAGCGTGTAAGTAACATTTTAAGTGATGGTTTTGTTATGGTTATCATGCTAAGATCTAAATACTGTAATTTCGATTCGAAATTCGGTTCAGCTTCTAGAAAACGTGGTTCAAAAACGGGATGATTGAGCTGTAATGGGAAAATTTTAATTATCACAATTGATGGTATTTAAAAGCCTTAAACTACCTCGGCTTGAGCTAATCGCAATATGACCACACCCCTCTTTAGAATATTTTCCATTGCACCGGCTTTAATCGAACGACCTCCCAGATCTAATCGAGTCCACAGGGATTCATCGCTGGCACAGCGATTGAAACGACGACACACATAGCCGCAACGTAACAGTGTTTTCTTGGGTAACCATTTGAATATTTGTAAAATGATCTCATCTGATAGGGTATTGAAATGATCTTTGCCATCGGGATTACGTTCACGCATCGTTTGATTGCGAAACAAAAAGAATGTGTCGGAGGGGGCGAATCGAGGTGTCTGTGCCACAATATGGGCGGTATGTTGCAATTGTTGTTGCTGTTGTTGTTGATGCTGCTGCTGAAGGTATTGTTTTTGTAATTGTTGCTGTTGTTGGTGTTTTAATATAGCTGCCTGTTGACTTGTAGATGGCATCATTGATGGTGAATGTGATCTTTGCTGTATGGAATTGTTGAAAGTATTCTTTGGGGGAAAAAAATTAAATAATAATTTAAATTTAAGTCCTGTTCTCAATATTGTATTAACAACATACCTGTTGTAATTGCAATTGCTGCTGTTGTTGTTGTTGTAGTAAAAGCTGCTGTTGTAATTGGGCATTTCTGAGAAAACTATTACATGCCACTGTGGCCAATGGACTTCTGGTATTTTTTCCAGCCGAAGATGGTGAATTACTATTACCAGATGCAATGGAGCCGGAAACCACATTCCCGGCACCCATTCCTAAAATGGCAATTTTCTTCTGTTGATGGGTGGTAACAAGCGGCGCCGTATTATTTGGCATGGGAAATTTGTCATTGATCTTATTTGTCGTCTTCTGTATTGTTTGTTGTCCCTGTTCATCTGTGTAAATGTCAAACGATGATGATGAATTTGAATTGTTGTTGATGCTCAAGGGATGTGGTTTCAATGATTGCCCACCATGTATGGATTTTCCACTTTGTATGGAGGTCGAGGTGTCATTGGGATCTAAAAAACTGTGATTACTGGCATTATCGTTTGTTGTATCCAGCAATGATGTATCCATGTTAAGATAGATTTGCCTTTGTTGGTGGCAAAATTTCGGTGCATCCAAATTGGGTGTGGCCTCATTGGAATTTTCATCGGCACTGGCAACCGCTAAGGCAATGGCCGATGCCGCCGATGAGGAACTTTCCTCCGAATCTAACATACCAATACCCATTTCTTCTAAATAGTCGTTTGTAAGCGCAGACGGCGATGAAGTACTTTCAAGTTTGGCCAATTTCCACGTTGGTGTTTGTGTCGCACTTTTGCTAGGTAAACGTTTTCTATAACAGAGAAAAAGCAAACAGAAAATAGAGAAAGTTAATTTAATTTGGGTTGAGTTGTGTAATATGCTGACAATATTAAAAAAAAACACCTAGTCAAAAAGTCTAAGTTGATAATAAATGTGGAAATAAACTGAAATACTTTGCAGAATGATTATCAAATTCAAAAAGTGTAGATCAATAAATGCCAAATAAAATGAATGAATCAAATCATAGTTGGAAAATAACGATTTAAGAGGATTTTCAAATAACATTCTTAATACAGTTTTTTATTTATTTACAAGAAATTAAGTTTATACTTTTAAAATTCTACTGGAAACTTACGTAGACTTTCTCTTGGAGAAAGATGTGAAAATTGACTAGGAAATTCTATTTAAAAATATATTTGTTTTTTTGAGGGTGGCAGTTCTTTGGTCGGTGATTTAAGACTTTCTACTATGGACAGATTCCAACACTAGTCATGCGTCAGATTTTTATACCCTTCACCATAGTATGGAGGGTATATTAATTTTGTCATTCCGTTTGTAACTCATCGAAATATTCATTTCCAACCCCATGAAGTATATATATTCTTGATCAGGATAAAATTCTAAGACGATCTAGCCATGTCCGTCCGTCTGTTGTAATCACGCTATCTTATCTCAGGCATTGAGATAGATCGCTAACCGAATTCGCAGTAATTTGGTATTTTGTAGTCGCATATGGTACCAAATCTTCCTACCAAGAATTATTAATATTCGCCCCTTTTAGGGGTAGTTCTCATATAACCCCCTTCTTATATTAAAATAATTATGTGATTAGTTCCGTGTGCAGGGGTTATCCCCATATAGGCGTATTATACCACAGTATATGGAATAGTCGTTATTAAAAATATTCAGTTTTACCCTACAAATTATGGAATTCTAAAACGATTTAGCCATCGGTTGTAATTATACCGCTTTCTAAGGAAATGGTGATAAAAAAACTCGAGCCTGACGATAATGAAATATATCGGTCAGCATTTAAGCATCTCCCCCATAATATTATTATACCTTCTGAAGGATAGAATTGAGACACCAAACAAACAAATATTGGGTTCGAAATTAACATATGTCCGTCATTAATTCGGCATATAACTATAACCCCCAAATATATATAAATAAACATAGAAATAATATTTTTATTTCTATGTTTTATTTATATTTGTTTTCTTTTAAATAGGATAGTTGTTTATTTAGTCAATTGTTAACATTGGATACATGACATAATCTATTTTTAGATAGAATATTTTTTTTGTTTTGCAATGTAAAAATTTTAACACCGGCTACTAGACAGAATTTTTTTTTAAATAAAAAATGTTTTGTGGGTGGCCGCACTTTCGCTGGGAATTTAATGCTTTATCCTATGGACAGATACCAACACCGACTGCGCGACAGAACCTTCGGATTTTTCTCACGAAAATATATGACTTTCATGGTGGAAGTCCATACTTCCCGAGATGTGGACCTCTGAAGTTCCGAAATTCCTATTCCCAACTTAACTTAACCCAATTTTAAAACTACAACAATGGTCGCTGCGGAACTTTGGAGGTAGGATTGCCTCTATAAAAAAGTTTATCGTAATAATAAAGGCCCCTAAAACTACGTATGGTCAAACTTTCCGAAAGGAAGTATAAGAAACAATTAAAACCATTAAATTTTTGCCCTTTAATGTGTACATATCTTCCGGATATAATTTATAAATTGACCATCCAAAACCATTGGAAAAAATCTGTAGATGTTTTTCGTTGTTGTTTTCTAGGTTATAAAAATGTTTACACATTTCAATGCATATACGTGTATGTGTGTGTTTATTTGGTACATCAAAATATAACAAAGATGTTTACATTTCATTTTGACAATACCATTTGGAAGACATGAATAAGGCAATGACCGACCCAGGAACAATGTGGGTGTAAGAAGAACGTAATAGAAACCCCCAATCCACGCCCATTCTACACATATGTCAAAACCGCTAACAAGTGCATACATAGAGTATGTATGCACGTTTGTTGACCCCATATCATGATGAAGCCAACTAATAAGTTTTCTTTTTTTTTTCGAGATGACACATCTCTCGAAAAATATGTTGAACAAACAGCGAATGAATGGAGAAATTACTTTACACTTTTAATTAAAAAATAAAACATTGTGTATTAGTTATTAAAACAAGTCATGAGAGATACTGTACATAAATACATACGTCGTGCAGCAGCAAAGCAAACTTTTTATTTATTTCGCCACGAATAACACGGCCAGCAGCAGTTAATGGTAAATTGTCTTCAATATTGTTTCTTCTTCACAGCAACAACATATTTATGTTGTTTTTAATAATTTCACACTGATGGCTTTTGGCACTTAACTATTTTTTTGCAAAAAAATATCATTTGTTTTGTTAATAAATTAACTTTTTTTAACCAACACTGTTGCAGCAACACAACTCACAAATTGACATTGCATTTTTTTGTTTGTTTGCTACTCTCATTCGTCGTATAATTTCACTCTCAGAAATTCTCTTCTCCATGCGGAGGGAGGGAATTGAAATGTCTTCTCTACTGCTCTCTTAACATGACACGTTTCAAGAGAATAAACTCTGTGTGTGTTTTCTTTTATTGCGACTTGGGTTTTTTCTTTAATTTTCTTACCTCGTTGTTGGACACAAATTTTCGTTGTTTTCCTTTGATTTTGTTAATTTATTATTCATTTTTTAATAGAAAAATGTATTGCTTTGTTTCTGTTGTTTTAGAGAAATTATTCAAAGCACCACACGACTAGATTTCTTGAAATAATTCAACAAGTATAGTTTTGGAACTTTTTTTTTCAGAGAACTCCACGATTTTTTTAATGTCAACAGAACGAAGTGCGCGGGAAGAATCTCTAATGAAAGGGATTGCCATTATCGATATTGACTCTAATCGATAAATCGATTTAATGTGACATTTTAGGTGGATATGTGTCTTGTTCCCGTAATTTGTTAACAGAAAAATATAGTGAAGGCCAAAGTAGAATAGGTCATTTGAGTTATTTTGTGTTTTACAACAAAAACAGGGTGACATCAAAGCTTTATGTTGTTCTACAGTGTTAGTTTCAAAAGTACGGACTGTAATACGACAGACTAATAGTTATTAAACAATTTTTTCAGTTGCAAGTCAGACATTGATGATAATGTTTCGCTGCTCGTGCTTTAAGAGCAGATTTTTTACTTAAAATCATGGCAAAATAATAAAGGTTGTCTCATTTCAAAAATCCAAATACAACTATGCAATTTTTGTACTTGAGCCTGTCAAATATTTACAACCATGTATGCCAACAATTAAATGGTCTGTTCCCGTACAGCAAGAATCTACTAGATTTTACTATTTTCTTCGATGTCATAAAGGAAAAATTGTTATCGTAGTAAAAAATTGTTGTTGTCATCGTAAAATATTTTGTTTATTTACTTTTTGTAATTTTATTACAGAAAAGAAAAGTGAGCTAATTTAGACAAGATTATGAACCGGCCAACGATTTTAAATGGCAATAGGTAGATCTAAAGGCCCTGATTTCATCGATATATTTTTCTGTCGGAATCCGTGGTATCTGATAACACCATCCAAAGTTCGTTTGGGTCTCTAGGAATACATATAGTACAAAATTAAAAATGTTTAGCGACCGGACAATAAACATGGCTTATTCCGAATGGACAATGATGGAAAAATATCTTTGTAAATGCACAGGAGTGTAAATCTAGAAAGAGAAGAACTTCAGCTATTTTAAAAGAAGAGGAGGCTCCAGCAGTTAATATATACAAAACTGAAGAGTTCTTCTGTCTTTCATTTTTATTTTATCGCCTTAATATCAAGAAGGCTTTAATGCCTTTTAGTTCTCTTTTTTGATTTTTCTAAACCGCGAAATTTCGTTTTCCCATAAAAGGGGCTTTAACTATTAGAAGACCTTCAGCTGATCTACTAGACAAGAATGTTTATTAACAATAATTGGTCTCGATCTAGGGCACAATTTCGTTTTGAAGACCAAGTCCATTCTTTCCTACTCCTAAATTTGATGAATTTCATATTGTCCTTATTACAGTACGTTTACATTTAACTGGATTTCGTTAACCCAGTGGGTTTCAATTGTCATTTCCTTTGCATATATGTCAAATAAATCCTCATAAAGTAGGTTAACCCGGTAAAAAGTTCTAATGTACAAGGAGTTTTATTCCAATGTTTATAACGTTTTCAATATTAAAAATTTGTTTAAAATTTGGTTTTCAAGAATTCAATTTTTTTTTAATTGACAGGGATTTTTGTATGTGTGTGTATTTATTATTTACACCTATAGGTTGTGTCAAAACTATTTTGACAATGGTATAATTATAAAAGGTAACAGCAATTCCCAGCTGATTTGATTCCAACGTAATACAGTGTCAATATGAATTTGACAAATTATGTTTTTAAAAATCACCCAACAGGAAAATTGGGAACGCATACAATTTGAAATTGTTCTTTATTAAATGTGCTCCCGTATTCAATTTACTCAATCTGCCTACTGGGAAAGTTTGAGGAAGCAAATCTTTCTTCATGGAATAACATTCAATTCCCTGCATTTTCATATGTGTTACACATATATATGGCAATGGCTCAATTATAGGAAAGATATGGAAGCGATAGAAATATAAATTTGATGGATTTTCATTCATGTTTTTCAAATTTTATTGTGAGGATTCAAAATATTTCATTTTCAAAATAAATATAATTTGTTGATAATTTGTTTGTTTACATTTTTCTGTCAAAAGACACTGACACTAGTAAAACTTACAACAGCAAATTTCCATGTGGTTGTTGTATCGATTGTTGTACAACAACACTTGCTGTTACCTTCTATTATTATACCATGGTATGAACACGATTGTATCTTATTTGTTGTGTCATGACTTATAATCATGGTACAATTTTTGAAGGTAGGTAGAAACTTTTAAATTACAATTTTTTCATACTGTGGCTTGTTATGCCAATGTCATATACAAAATGTTTGACTGCATGTGTTTTGAAAATGATAACAAAATATAGTTGAAAATCGATTTGTTTGAAGATGAGTTTTAAACATTTGTAAGAAGAAATATATGATTTGTCAATGAAACACCATGTAAATCATATACCCAACTCGATTTTGAAAGGAAAACCTGACATTCCATTCATATTTCGCGGGTTTGGTAAAATGTTAAAAATATACCAAATGAACAGAACGGCTTATTCCATTTGTTTTCATTTATTCTGACATTATTGCCAATAAGGTAGATGTATATTTGTGTATACCTTGTATAATTGTACCACGCTTAAAATTTGTTTTTCTGTATAATTAAGATTATGGCCATTATGCTTTCTTCATTATATATCATCAGATCTCTACTTTTCATTTTATGGAGTTATTCAATATGTGCACTGAGGGGCTGAAATGATTATGTCTCTTTTAGATGTTTTTCATTCAAGAGAAAACCGAAAATGCATATTTGTGGAAATAAAAAAATTCTATAAAAATCTAAGTTAAAATCTCATTTTTTATTATTAAATACGTGGTAACATTTTTTTCTTTTTGTAAACAAGTGTGTACGTGTATATGAAAACAAATACCAGCTGACAGTCAAAGCCAGTGTAAATAAACTTAATTTCGTTTCACGATTTCGTAAATCCATTTCATATAAAATGGGCTATATAATTTTAGCATGACCTGTACAATTGGCAAAAATGTGCAAAATGGTGTTTCGATTAAATGTCAAAGTGGGTAATTTCTAACCTGCGTGAAGTTAGCGACATCGCTAACTTTCGATAACAACATTTTTATCGAAATTACAGGGTGACACAGAACATCACACTTTCACATTTAACACTATTTTTATCAACAGTGCTTTCCAACAGAGATAGCGCAGAATATTATAAAATAATATTTTTTTAAAATTATTAATTAAAAAGGTTAACATAATTCAGTAGAAATGAAAAATAATAAACAATACGAAAATGTTGAAACATATTTTATTATAATCTAAAACTAAAGTATTACTAAATCACAAACATTTTAATCCAGTGAATCAGGAGAGATGTCCGCCTCTGGAAGCCTCCCTATACAAACCTCGAACATAGTGATGGTACCAAATGAAAGAGGGAGTCTCTACGAGTATTTTAGTATGCACCATATGTTCAGATTCAGTTTTTTGTAGAACAAAGTTGCTGAATTTCTTATTTCCAACTGGTGGTCACGACACCAAAATGGCTCTGGAAGCCTCCGAATACAAACCTCGAACAAAGTAAGGGTATCAAACGAAAGAGGGAGTCTCCAAGAGTATTTTGGTATGCACCATATGTTCAGATTCAGTTTTTTGTAGAACAAAGTTGCTGAATTTCCGATTTTCAACTGGTGGTCAGGACACCAAAATTGCTCTGGAAGCCTCCGTATACAAACCTCGAACAAAGTAAGGGTATCAAACGAAAGAGGGAGTCTCCAAGAGTAGTTTGGTAGTTTTTTGTAGAACAAAGTTGCTGAATTTCCGATTTCCAACTGGTGGTCAGAACACCAAAATGGCTATGGAAGCCTCCGTATACAAACCTCGAACAAAGTAAGGGTATCAAACGAAAGAGGTAGTCTCTACGAGTATTTTGGTATGCACCACATGTTCAGATTCAGTTTTTTGCAGAACAAAGTTGCTGAATTTCTGATTTCCAACTGGTGGTCAGGACACCAAAATGGCTCTGGAAGCCTCCGTATACAAACCTCGAACAAAGTAAGGGTATCAAACGAAAGAGGGAGTCTCTGCGTGTATTTTGGTATGCACCATATGTTCAGATTCAGTTTTTTGTAGAACAAAGTTGCTGAATTTCCGATTTCCAACTGGTGGTCAGGACACCAAAATGGCTCTGGAAGCCTCCGTATACAAACCTCGAACAAAGTAAGGGTATCAAACGAAAGAGGGAGTCTCCAAAAGTAGTTTGGTATGCACCATATGTTCAGATTCAGTTTTTTGTAGAACAAAGTTGCTGAATTTCCGATTTCCAACTGGTGGTCAGGACACCAAAATGGCTCTGGAAGCCTCCGTATACAAACCTCGAACAAAGTAAGGGTATCAAACAAAAGAGGTAGTCTCTACGAGTATTTTGGTATGCACCACATGTTCAGATTCAGTTTTTTGTAGAACAAAGTTGCTGAATTTCTGATTTCCAACTGGTGGTCAGGACACCAAAATGGCTCTGGAAGCCTCCGTATACAAACCTCGAACAAAGTAAGGGTATCAAACGAAAGAGGGAGTCTCCAAGAGTATTTTGGTATGCACCATATGTTCAGATTCAGTTTTTTGTAGAACAAAGTTGCTGAATTTCCGATTTCCAACTGGTGGTCAGGACACCAAAATGGCTCTGGAAGCCTCCGTATACAAACCTCGAACAAAGTAAGGGTATCAAACGAAAGAGGGAGTCTCCAAGAGTATTTTGGTATGCACAATATGTTCAGATTCAGTTTTTTGTAGAACAAAGTTGCTGAATTTCTGATTTCCAACTGGTGGTCAGGACACCAAAATGGCTCTGGAAGCCTCCGTATACAAACCTCGAACAAAGTGATGGTACCAAATGAAAGAGGGAGTCTCTACAAGTATTTTGGTATGCACCATATGTTCAGATTCAGTTTTTTGTAGAACAAAGTTGCTGAATTTCTGATTTCCAACTGGTGGTCAGGACACCAAAATGGCTCTGGAAGCCTCCGTATACAAAC